ATGTGAAAGCGATTTTTACAAAATGTTTTTTCGTTTCTGTTTTAAAAAATTTTTAATATACGTGTTGACCAAATAATAAATATATATAAATATAAACATACAAAAATTGATTTTTTATATTATATTATACCATGGAAAATCGAGATGAAACAAAATGTTAACTAGTGTCTTACGTGCAATAGTCATTTAAATGTTCTGGAAATCTTACACTTCTTCCAGAAAGCGTCGTCTTAAGTTTATTTTCTGATACTATTGAAGTATCATCGTGTGTGTTGCCTGCCGGTTGGGTATTATACGCGTGGGAGTCGTGTTGTGCGATTGTACCTAAGGGAAATCTACGTGAATAGGATTTCCTTCTAAATACGCTGCTTTTAAGCGATCGATGCTGATGCTATTGTTTGTTCCGTTCTTATCGACTATATAGTACTTAGATTCACGTTGAAGAACTTTGAAAGGTCCTTCGTATGCTGATTCGAATGGTCGTCGATGCGAGTCTCGACGAACGAAAACGTGTGTACTATATCGTAAGTCAGGTTGAACGAAAACATCAGTTGATTGAGGTCGAGTGGAAGCAGGTTTAACTGAACGCATTGCGTTTGTAAGCCTGTTCGTGTAGGAGGTTAGATCCATGTTCATCGAAGAGGACGAAGGATCCACGAATTCTCCTGGAAGTCGAAGTGTCGTTCCATAAACGAGTTGAGCCGCAGTGTATCCAATGTCAGCTTTCACTGCATTGCGGATACCTAGTAAGACGAGTGGAAGAGCGTCGGTCCACTGTGAAACGTTTGCAGCTGATAGCGAAGCTTTCAGTTGTCGGTGAAAACGTTCTACCAACCCGTTTGCTTGTGGGTGGTAGGCGGTCGTTCGGAAGCGAGTGATTCCTAAAAGTGTGGTCAGACGACGGAAAAGATCAGATTCAAACTGACGTCCGCGGTCTGTAGTGATGGTTGAAGGGCAACCGAAGTTTGCTACCCATCGTTCGACGAATGTGCGGGCCACTGTTTCAGCAGTGATGTCCTTGATAGGTACTGCTTCTGGCCATCGAGTGAAACGGTCTACGCAGGTTAAGAGATAAGAGTATCCATTTGAATCTGGTAAAGGTCCTACCAAATCCAGATGAACATGGTCGAAACGAGCATCGGGAGTTTTAAACGAGCCTAAGGGACATTTATTGTGTCTGATAACCTTAGATTTTTGGCAGCTTACACAGGAGCGTGCCCACTCCCTCACGTCTTTATTCATGCCAGGCCAGCAAAATCGTTCTGCTATAAGCTTGATGGTTGCACGAACACCTGGATGAGAAAGTTTGTGCAATGTGTTGAAGACATTGCGTCGATAATGTTTCGGCACGATTGGGCGATCCCTACCTGTAGATGTGTCACAAAGTAAGGTTTCCTTACCTGTTCCCATCTGTTTGATGCGTAGTTTAAGTGTTGTGGACGATAACTCGTGCTGAAGATCAGTGTCTTCTTTTTGAAGCTCGGCGAGTTTAAGAAGGTCGATTCCTTGGAAACTGTTCAAGGAAGTTATGCAACTACATTGTTTGCTCCAGAGATGTGTTGAATATCTGAAGTAAACTGCGAAATGTAGTCCAGTTGTCGAGACTCACGGGGAGAGTACTTGTCAGAAGGAGAGCTTAACGAGAAAGTGAGCGGTTTATGGTCCGTGAAAAGAGTGAATTCACGGCCTTCGATATAGTGTTGGAAATGCCGTACAGCACAATACATAGCTAGGAGTTCCCTACCGAATGTGCTGTACCTCGATTCGGTGTCTAGCAACCTTCTAGAGAAAAATGCCAAGGGTTGCCAGGAGTTGTTAACCCATTGTTGTAAGACTCCTCCGATTGCTGAGTCGGATGCGTCTACTGCGATGCTAATGGGTGCTCGGGTGTCCTGATGTGCGAGCATTGTTGCTTTAGCGATCAGTTCCTTAACTGTGGAGAATGCTTTTCGTGCGGTGTCGTCCAAATTAATGGATTTCGCATTTCCACGAAGTTGGTCGGTCAGAGGTTTCATAAGTAATGCGCATTTCGGTATGAAACGTCTATAGAAACTTACCAGGCCGTTAAACGTGCGTAATTGCTTGACGGTGGTCGGTTCTGGGTAATCCAGAATGGCCGCCACTTTGGTTCTAAGGGGTCGGATACCTTGAGCATCGATAGTGTGTCCCAGAAAGTCTGAGTCGGTTCCGAATTGGCATTTCTGAACGTTTACAGTTATGCCATGTTTTTGTAATCGTTCGAAAACAAGATCCAGATGCTTGAGATGTGTTTCTCTGTCCGGACTTGCGATTAGACAGTCGTCAACATACGCGTGTACGAAGTTGAGACCTCGAAAAACGTCGTCTATGAATCTTTGGAATGTTTGAGCAGCATTCCTTAGACCGAAAGGCATTCGCAAAAATTCATAGAGTCCGAAGGGAGTTATGATAGCTGTTTTCGGTATGTCGTCAGTAGCCATAGGGATTTGGTTATACGCTTTAACCAAGTCGATTTTCGAAAAGACAGTTGTACCTTTCAAGGTAGCTGTCAAATCGTGAATGTGAGGCAACGGGTAACGATCGGGAATGGTTTTCGCGTTCAATCGCCGATAGTCACCAGTTGGACGCCAATCGTTGCTGTCCTTTTTAGGGACCATGTGCAACGGAGATGCATATGGGCTACTTGACGGTCGTATGATTCCTAAGTCTATCATGTGATCGAATTCGTTTTTCGCTAACCTTAGCTTTTCAGGAGCTAGTCGTCGTGCTTTAGAGAATACAGGTGGTCCTGTAGTCGTGATGTGATGTGTAACATTGCTGGTTACACACGGTAGTTTCGGTTGCGTTTGTTGTATCCCAGGGTACTTATCGAGTAGTGGTTGATAGAGTGGGTCTATCATATGCTTAATTGTGACTGGGGATAATCTGCAACCAGTAAAAGAAGTTACGCAAACGGAAAAATTAGTGTTTCCGTCTACTAGCCTCCGTTTGCGAGTATCGATGATTAGATTATGGTGTTGTAGAAGGTCCATACCAATGAAATATCTGCAACAACGAAGATCCAGTGTATGGGTTTGCGTAAACCCACGTTCAGGTAAACGTACCTTTTGCCATACGTAGCAATAGGTTTCCCGTTTGCCGCCGGTAAGTTTAAGGCCGATTCGTTAAGCAGGTCGTTGGGATTCGCTGGGAGAAAGCTAACTTCTGCGCCAGTGTCGACGAGGTAGCGAACTCTCGTTGTCACATCTGTGACGTATAAAAGACAGCTATGTCCGCCGGCTACGGTTGCCGTTAACGCGTGCCGGCTTGGAAATTTCCCGAATTGTTTTTCGAGTCAGTCGGTTTTGAGTTGGGAAAACTGCAGGGTTTCCTGCAATTTCTGGAAGAATTTTCATACTGATTATGATACCAGCACCAATCGGGATTATCCGTCTCCCGTGGTCTAGAGACAGATTGCTTACGTGAAGTGCTTCTACGTGGGGTGTGTGATCGCTTACGGTCGTTACGAAACTTGAGATAACGCGTAAGTAAATGACATAACTCGGTTATGTCATTCTGAGTCATTTGAAGCTTTTCTTTGGCTATAAAACCTCGGTAGTAGAAGATTTCGTAATTTCTAAGATACGATCGGCAGATGCATCCAGCTCATCTAAGGCGTTGTTTTGAAACGAGACCGGAACCGTTTGCACCTGTTAGGGAAGTTTGGACGAGAAAAGTTGTTTGAATAGGCCTTCGTCGAAAGTTCTTAGGCCTATAAACTCTCTCATCCTTCGCAGAACCGTGTTGCAGGTCTATGTTATTAAAGAGTTCGTCTAACCTTTGTCAATCGGTTAGGTCTCCTCGTTTGAGAATGGAACGCTTTAAAGTTTCGTACGGTTCAGAGACATCACTAGTAAACATACTAGGTGTTACGTACCTGTTGAATTCCCATGGTAGTGCCTTGACTACTGTGCACGTGTGTCGTTCACGCCCTGCTCGTGGAAGTCGGCTTCTGCGTAGCAGAACCAGGCTTCGATACTGTCGAGCCAGAAGGGCATGAGTTGGAACGAGGGTGGGGACATAGTCTTAATCTTAAATACCTTGTGGGTCTGTTCAGTCATAGGGGAAATTAAGTACGAGAATACACGAGTGAAAAATATATAGATATCCAAACACGAGGGAAAAAATATCACAATGTGCAAAAAATTAAAATAAAGGAATGATATATAGAATCCTCAAAATGGAACAGACTCAAATTATATGGTTTGGTGTACCAGATCACGTCGGGCTCACCAATGAAGATGGCACAGGTATTTAGAGTTTGACAACGCTTTTACAAGTAACACCTTCTAATATAACTCGTACCCACCAAGAGAAATCAAAAGACAGAATCGAGAAGATCAGAAGTTGTATTTGACGATTGTCAATATATCGGAATTGTCTGAGCTAGTTTGGCTAGCGTTCGCAGTAGATGTTGAGCACGGCGTTCCCACACTTGATCTGGTGCGGTTGCATGACCGAGCGCCTTCAGCTAGGTGAGTCCATTAAAACATGTGGTCAGCATCCAATGTCGAAAACTTACAGAGCTATTTATTTTGGGGATTTATTTTTTACTGATACAGTCCCAATGGTCTAACCAACAACGACGGTGATACCACTGACCAGAAAGAACAGTATTTTCAAAAATTTGAACCGTCATGTAGAAACTGCATGGATGAGAGCTTAATTTACAACTCATTAGGACTCTCACAAGTAAACCTGAGCGCTGAATTGTTGTTTTAGAAACTGCAGCATCTAGACGAAGACAATTCTCGAGAACTGGATGTGGTTCAATCTACTATTCTAGGAGGAGCGGCTTTAATTTTGCCAAGACCGCTCAGTGTGATGTTCCCACAATCTCCAAGACGAAGCCCGGTCCCATAAAATTGGAAGCTGGCACCCATTACGCCAAGTTAAAAAAAAGCCAGAGGCTGTTAATTTCAAGTTAATTAGGATCCCATTGAAAACTTAACAAGGTCAATAACTTGTTGGCGGCAACTAAAATGGCAGATAGATTAACTAGGGTGATTAATTTAGCTTCGAGTATGTTTTCTTTCTCTCTTGAGCTCTGTAGAGGTCTCTGCCTTCGTTATTCAGGAAACTTCACCAAGATTAATTAAGTTTCGAGAATATGCAAGGGTGGAACTAAGGCCACCAACACAAGCAGATCTCAAGCCAGCAGTCGAACAAGCAACAAAACTGATTTGTGCATTCAAAAGTGGTGCTTGGAAAAATGTGTCCGTTAAGGTATATATTGATGCACTCTTATTTATTTTCAGGAAGGGCTTGTTAATGCTGTAGTGACAGCGGAAGTACTCTGTTGGTTTTTCATGGGGGAAATGATTGGACGAAGAAGCTTTCTAGGATATAGTCGCGTTCCATATGCCTATCTCAAGCACCACTAATCTGCTTTTTGCATGGGGAGCACATCTTTTTATAGAACTATTTAGAAATTACAGCTCACGAAATAAACAAAGATGTTTTATCTCAGTAGTTCTGTAAAGTACTTCCGAGTAAACCATGGATTACTTACTCCTGTATACCTATTCTCTGTTTCTTCAAACTGCATCATCCGGCTAAAAGTATTGCTAATAACAATCATACTAGAAAAAAGGCAGCCAAATGTTCTGCTTAATTTCCATGTATGTATCGCACCAATCAAATTACCGTTAAGGTATTTTATGTGACTCCAGTGGTGTGGTGCAGGTTCCAACTTTATTTCAGTCTCTGTGAGTGTATAGGTCTTGTCTTAAATAGTTTGAGGAGATCCATATCGATTATCCTTGTGAGGCCTAATATTTTCGATATGTAAACCGGACCAAGCTAAAGAATGAGTCGTAATTTGTTTGGATGTTCCCAGTCAACAGCAAAGTCGTTTGTTCGTAAAAAACGTCTATTATATAATGTGCCTTTAAAGGTGCTTACCACTGACGTTAAAAGTCCAGGTGGTTTTGTAAAGGGTCCACATTAACCGTTGTTCAAGCCCGAAGTTTTAACCTGAATGGTTAGTGCCAAATACATTTCTACTGGCTTAGGATGCGTCGTTATAATGGTAGTATTTATGTTATTACATCGGCTTTTGAATTCGGATCAGGAAACCAATGAGACTCACGTCCCACAGAATACTTGGTAGTGGTTCCTTGTACAGTAGGATTGTTTTAAACTCCTGCCCAATATTCGAGCGATTCCCAGGTGTGTTTCGAAAACCAAATGTGTAGATGACACTTACTAGCTTCCTAAACACAATTAGTGGTTGACATTGTACCACTGATGCGTCACTCTGTATTTCATTTTTTCATATTAGTAGCGTTGTTCACATGTTTCTGCTCCTTGAAAAAAAGCTTGCTTTTCCTTCGTAGGGACTTTTACATTTTGTTGCCGTTGTACGTAAAAATACATTCAAGTCTTTGACGCGCAATGACTTGGAAATATACTATGTTCAAATGGAACCGACTACTGGAGAACTTTTTGTCGCCTATCAGTATAAACGGTTGTTACGTGTTGCGAGTCAGTTTGGTTAGGTGACCATCATGCACACTGAAAATTTTGGTCCTGAGAATGTAAAACTACGGTACCAAATCGTGGAGTCCCTAAATAGTAAGTACCCGAATTTAGTGGAATTCTGGCAATGTGAATCAATGGTTACTTTCTGATTTGTGCCGAGTTTCCCTTTTACCACATATGAGGTATAACAGCTTGACAGTGTGACAAAAATTACGTGTATCATCGGAGTTAACTTACTGAATAAATGGTAAAATCAGATGACTGTGAGTAGATGTCATGAGGAATTAGATTTGTAAATTTTCTTAACTCTACAAACAGATTACAAACAAGCATTGGATTTTGTGGAGAATGTAGAATTTTAATTGTTTAGATTACGAACTGATCATAGATCACGATTGAAAGCCGTAAATGGCCGTTTCATCCTAGTTTGGGACCACTGATTCTAAGTTCAGCAGTGGTAATGTCTAACTCTAGTCGACTCTACAATCTCCACAAAATCCTATACTTAAAATGATCATGTACTTACCAGTGAATAGCTTCAAGGTGCAAACCCTTGAGTCTTACTGACAGGCCGTGATCAGTGTGAGTTATCCACATCAGGCGATGGAGAGGGTTTGACAGTATAGTGGATCAGTTGAAGCTAGACATCGTTCGATGGAGGCTCGGTGATATATGGACGAGGTGTTTGCGTGCTAAGTGCTGGGTTCGATTCCCGTGTACGGGCCGTGGGTGCGCGCTGCTGCGGAGTACCATGCTATGACGGAGATGCCGTCCAGTGCTTCCAAATTTCCAGTGGTGGTCTAGTTAAGGTCATTTCGTTATTTGAACTGTGACAAACTTCACTAGTTGTTGACCTGGCAAAACTAGTTCCTTAAATAGTCCCTAATATCTATCCAGTTCTGCTGCTTGCTTTCGTTGTCTACTATAGCTGAACCAGTGAAAATCGCACTCGACCTACTCCTAAGTTGTTATCATGCTTGGAGTCTTGTGCGATGAGTTCTTGAGAATGCATTGGTTCGAAAACCGTTCAAATCCAACCTAACGTTGGGTAATGGGTTCTAGGACTTTCAAACACGGTATTAGGCGAAGAATACAGAAAGCTCATATCTAGATCTGATTATTTAGAGTACAGGCCATATATTGTGAAACCATAAACTGGAAAAAGGTGCGTATGTTAGATGTAATGTATGTCTAGTGACCTGAAGTTTAAAAAGGATGTGCGTGGCGCATCCGCTTTGTAATTTACGGTGAGCACCTAGTTGTAAAAACATATATTCAGGTACTAGACCTAATCACAAACATGTTTGGCAAGAAGTATTTTGTTCTGCTCTACTTATCGTGAAATCAAGATCTGTTTCACACAGGCTAGAGAAATGATGTTTCAGAAATTCTTCGACACTTAATTACATGTAGCTTTTAGAACAGGAAGTTTAGAAAAATCCATTCCTCCGAAACTTACAGTAACTTCAGGTTGAGAACATCTGCAGTTTAGAAGGGTCTAAAGTCACACAGTCGAAATGTGTAGTTTGGAAAACAACACTATGATGATTCATTACCATGGATCTAGATTTTCGCCATACGAACTTCAATTAGTGAAGCCCATCCATTTCCGGGAGATAGGACGACTTTTTCACGGTTTGATCTTCCATCACAAGTTTGATCTCACTAACCAGCTGTGTAAATCCAGATGATGAACTTAGTAATTCAGGTTGGAAAGTTAAATTCGCAAGTGCGACTGACTATTTTGGTATGATTATCAGTTAAGACCTAACAAGTGATATATACAGTGACAATAATATGAAATATGTTGCGTAATCGTGTAAACAGGATAAAACCTGAAGTATGCTGGATAAAGCAACGGCTTTTTCTCCAATGGAATCACAGATGACTGGTTATGCCAGAGAAGCGGACTGTCACTTACATGATAAGCAACAGAAAAAACGCTAGTGGTCATATTAAAGGCGGTGAAATTATAGCTTATTTGAGACCCAAGCATAACATTTACTCGTAACTCCGATTTGCGTCAGAGATATTAGGGAGTATTTATAAGTAACATGAACGCATGTTTATAGTTCTTCATTCATAGTTTCGTTATGTTAAAATGTTCTTGTTATGTCCGATAAGAATAAAGAATGGCAACTTCTGGGATCCATTTATGGACAAATAATATGTGCATATTTTTATCGTATAATTGTTAAGTAACTAAACTGTTGATATTCATGTCCCTCTTATTACAAGCTTTATTTCGATCTATTATTATACGACCTACCATTCTTGAATTATGCCCTGTTTATTAATTACTACCTCCCCTATTCACAGCCACATTTGGCTAATTCTTGTACTAATGTTATTTTCTATTTTATGCTACGTTGTGGTCTGTCTGGTTGGTATGTAAACCCAGCATGCTTGGAATAAGTGATTCATATTGCAGAGGCTGAGATTGGTGTTCTGGACTCAACTGGCTAGGCTAGGCAGAAAGCAGGACCAATAAGGACTCTAGACTGGCCGTACAGGTTTTATGCGTCACTGGTCCGGTCGATAATTCACTGCTCTCTAGTTGGCGTTATCGGCTCCTTTAGGGCCTCTGGAGGCTTCTTTGTGGTTCTCAAGGACCGGCGACGTCAGGATGTCAAGTCCCCGTAGATACTTGTTGAGCTATCAACCAACAGTTGGAAGTTAACCACACGTATTCGACTTCTACAAATGATTAGTCAATCACCTTTCCAACTACTCAGTCATTCGACATTATTTCCGTAGTCATCTACGAAATTATAATTACACCACTACTCCATTAATTATCGTTACTGTAAATTATTCATATTAAAATTCAGAGCTATGAAGAAAAACTAGTTGGAAAGAAATGCCTCTTTGCTCTATTCATATTTTACTGTATATTCGAATTAGAATTTTTACTGTTCTAACGATTATCTTTAAATCCATCCACAGTACCTTTGGGACACTGAGAGTTTGGCTAAGCTACTAACTACGCTTTACTTAAGTTTTTCTAGACAAATTGGATTGTGTGTGAATTGCGTAGAGGAATTAGCCTGCTTAACTTCGTTTAACAAACATGATACACCATAATCCATTACACTTTGAAACAAGTACTTGCAGATAGTCTCTGAAAATAACATCAAAATCATGTATATATTTAGTATTTACAAGAAACAAGGCTGTTAGAGGAAAACGGTACACCTAAAAAGTTAACGAGATAAGTCATTCATCATAAAAGCTTCCACATCATATGGCTCGGCAGTTATTTGTCTTCCAGCGAAGTAGCGCTTATTTAATGCATTTGCAGCATTGTGTACTGAACACGGGTCAGAAAATACAACAAAAATATTGACGAATTCTTCATTTGTCTCATGAGCACTGTCTTGGTGAATTAACACTTTTTCAACCGATCCATATTTCGAACACTCTCCGGCCACTTCTCCTTCCAGTTCGTCATCGCAATCTTCTGGACCGACCATATTACGTAAAATCAAAACACTGAAAACGAAAATACCAATAGGTAAGCCAACTGTTAAGAATCAAGAGACGCCAGAAAATAATTATTAGGTAAAAATCCCACCCATATATAAGTCTTAACGACTCAAGTTCTTGTTGAATATTCAGCCAATAACTTTCTTAATACAACAAATTAAGTATTCAGGTTACAACTAGATCACAGCTCACTGTAATAAAACCATACAGTTAAAACACTAGATCTCATGTTGGAAGTTATGTGTTATATATGCCCCACGAATCGTTTAAATGATTATGAGGCCACTTACGTAATCGAACATGAAACTTTTATTAGTGTTGCTTTCACTGATTATCAATCAGGTAAGTGATAGAAATAGTATAACCTACAATTCTGTACTTGGCATCAAACTGTATTTATTTATTTGAACACATAAATACTGGTACATGGGGCACCAGATACATATGCGCCAGACAAATCTCACTTGATTTGTGTGAGGGCTGTGACACCGCCCGGGTGCCCGAACCGGAGCAGGTGGTTTTCCTAGGGGGCCACACCCGGAGCCTTTGACCTAAAGTTCTGATCCACAAGGCAGTGGAGCATCATAAAGAGATGCAGTCCCATGATGACCGGTGACCAACGATTGGTTCATACGCCATTTATTCCTTCAGGGTACTGGAGCCCATGTACACCATTGGTTTGGAATCAGGGTTTTCCAACTCTCCTAGGTGAACTCTCCATGTACACCAACCCGGTTAAAGCTCCTATTGGACATTCGCTTTTCGTTCTCTCAATTTCGTAAACAACACCCCTGGTTCGAGAAGGCAGTGAGTAGGAATTCCCTGGCAGAGGCTATACTGCAGATGTGAAGTCATAATATTTGAGTGTATTAAAACACCTCACAATAAGAATGCTATAATAGACATACTTAGTATAATCTACCTAAATGAGTTATCAGATTTTCCAGCGAACAGTACACCAATATGGTATGATCAAAAAACATTCCTAATCAAGGACATTTTTCACCCTTGGAAGGTGATATAAAAACACAGGAAATTAGACAAATTATTTAGATGATAATCAAGAAAGAATTCTAAAAAATATAATCATGACTCCATAAGCTGAGTCTACCCCATAGTTCTACATGTCACGGATAATAAATCCAAAACAAGATATGCTACCGGAACATACATTTCCATGAATTCCTTGTAGATATATCTTTATGGAGAAAACTGTAACTATCAGGGATTTCAGCAGCTGATGAGACAACATTGACAATCTGTTTGTAAACCATTCCAATGACAGATCACTACCACAAATTAGGTCAGTTACACAACTGACACTAATAACAATTAAACAATGATTCTACTACATATATTTTGTTAGAAACAAGAAATGAGACGTGGTAACTAACTTGTCATGAAGATACTGTTAAACTTGATACTCTTCACACCATTAGAAATTTCAAAAGTTTAATATAAATAGCGATTTACTACATTCAAAGAACCGAAGAAATATCGATACACTATCAAACAACTAATTTACTACGTAATAAAGTGATCTGATCCACACAAGCGCTATGGAACATGACCGTATAAAACGGAAGACTAAGGAATTTTACGTATGAGATCAATGCTGTAACCACAGTATAGCTCATGACTTCTAAATTATGAGGTGATCCCCAACTGTAACTCATACCTGACCCGGTTAGTTTTACAGTTCATAATAACGAATTTGAGCTAAGTTAGTTTAGAATTTGCTGACTGAGAAGGAATGTTTGTGTGGCTATAATATTAAGTTCAAAAACGAAAAAGGCACTTCTCACATTAAATCCCAACTGATAATGGGATGTACATTGCTTGACTGAATCACTTTATTGAAGTAAGGAAGGACCAATGCCAGTAGATTTAATGGCCGGTTAGGACGACCAGAACAATCAGCAGTACCTAGATACTTAGCTTTTGATAAGAAATATGGTGCAGATGCATTCATCATAACGGATGGTATATAAGACTGGAACCAAAGCAAGAAGGAAATAGGGTTTTTCTGGGACTTTAATCTGATGAAACTAATAATGGTTGTATCCTGCAACTAATTCAACATTATTTGTGCCTGGGCTGATTGAAAGACATCAATAGAAGGGAAGACTATTGACGGTGAACACAATGACCATATTACTTTTTAATCACAATTAGAAGATGAGGATCACCTTGTTTACAATAGGTCCACAACTCTGATTAAAACATCTGCACCTCTGTGAATGCATAAAACAACTGAACAGCGATTTAAAGTTTGGGTATTATGTGAGGAGGGTTTGACCGAACAATCATTGGACTGTGACAGCCATTATCGTCCCCCACAAATATGATAATGAATAATTAGAATGACTGAAAAGATTATTTCAAAAGCCTGAGTCAATGGATGCTTCACAACGGTAAATCACTGAAGTGTATGATTTCTGAACGATGAAAAATTGATCACATACAGCAGCTGCAAACTCGAACCAAAATTTTGGACTTTATAGTATCAAAACTTATTTCTCATTAATAATGTTGGTTTACTACTATATACAATTCTTGTTACAGAGGATCCACCTAGGGGAGTTAGAAAACCTTGGTTCCGAACCAATAGTGCACATGGACTCCAGGATCTTAAAGAAGCAAATGACGCGTGAACCTAATCTTGGTTACCGGTTGGTTACCACGAGACCGTATCTCATAAAGTTGCTCCACTGCATTATTAGACCTATAGGTCAAGACTCGGGAGGTAGCTTCCTAAGATAACTACTCCTCTTAGTTCGGGCACTCACGTAGTATCCTAACCCTCACAGAATTTAAATGACTACAAGTGGAGAAATTATTCTTACGAAAATTGTATTCACAACTATCTGATAACATTCGTTTATATTTTACATTGCGTCACTTGTCTATTCGCTTTTATTCCCCTTTGTGTATTCTTTTATTTTTCAACTAATACAACAACTCGCCTATGGTGGAAATCCTGTCCTATCTAAACAATATCAAGTCACAGACTAGTCGAAAGTTGAACGCTGCCATATCAAATACGAATTCTGAACCAGCTTTTCTGAAACCACATGTGCCATTCAAACTGGCCTCCTTTAACGTCGCACACTAATGCAGATCAGAAAATATATAAAGTCTTTAGAAAGTTTCAACATCGATGTCCATAGTCTGTATGATAACTATATCCGAGACATTAGTGAAGCACTACAAACTCGCTCTTCATCTGTCGCCTTAAAAAGCCTGTTTCATGTGCAGCAGTATGACTTCGCCCTAGGACCTTGGGTTTTCTGCTTTCAATCTTACCGTTCTTCAACAGACCTGTCTGGCATGGTAGGGCCTTGAGGGACGATTGTTCCAGCTAGTGGAGCCCTATTGGTTCATCACGATAGGCAGGCTCGACCACTACGTCAAGGTAGCAGCAATGGTTGAAAACATTAGCAGAGAGGAAAAAAACCTAACAAATATATAAGGTGATACTATACCTAGTTTTTAAACGAGAAACTGATGTATATTTCAAAATGTTCATACTTACCCGCCTGAGAAAAAGTTTGGATTTCCGGAGGAAGCAGAATGAGATGTGAAGCTACTTGGAGATGCAGAGGAGGGTTGGGCATGTGAATATTGCCCAGGCACCTCAGGTTGCCAAGTCCCTACAGCAACAGCATTAGAATTCTCATTGTAATTATTCACATGTGTGAATGTTGCATTAAATTCAGCTGTTAAAAAATTTAAAATGTGAGTAAAAGATCGAGTTACTAAGTTTGAGTATCAATAGCTAATCTAATGAACATTAATATCATAATAAAACCATACATAAAACAGTACTATTATGTGGGGATACGAAGAAACTATTCTACCTAAAATAGTGAAACGGAATTCTGTAGCACGAATATATAGAATTTAAATTTCTGAAGCATATTTATGACCAAATAAATCAGAATTAGACATTATTCACGTGTAAAGCGTCAGGTTACAATTGCAAACAAGAGGAACATTTCAAGGTTTAGTGCTTTGAGTCTTTTATTAGCATTTTTGACTTTACCCATGTATGTCTTCTCAGGCACAAGAATAAAATTGTAACTAAACGATATATTCAGAATGCTAAATGACCATCACTTTCAACTTAAAGAGTATTAGTTGCCAGTTCGAGGGACAATCCAGAGTATTAGAGGCATAAAGTGAATATATAAGTATTTACTTTTGGTGCACAATAGTCTTGAATTTTATGATACACAATCACATAAGAATGGTGCAGAATAGTACGATGTACGTGCCTAGAATTCATTGAGTTTTAATTAGTTTTGGGGGTAGATTAGAATATTACGTAGACTACTGGTCGTTTAGGTACATACAGTAAAGCGTCAGTAAACTCATTATTATTATTATTGGACCTGAGAAAACTTGCGGAATATTCACAAATTAGCAGATTAAACTAGCAAACACATAGAGACTGACATCAAAATTATTTAGCTGGGATGAAGTAAGAAATTATAGACTTACCACTTAATGAGGGCTGATCAAGTGTTGATTGACCAGTAGTTGGGACTGTTGTGGGAGAACATGTAGGTAAAGAGCTGTTGGTAAGATTGGTAGACTGTGTTGTTGTGGAGGACAGAGTATTCAGTACTACAGGATGAGCCACTTCGGGTTGCTTTGAATAAGAATTCACAGGGAGCTATAATAAGAAAAAAGAGGCCTTTAAAATACATACTACCAACTAAGAAGATGAACTAGCTATGATGTCAATAATTACCTGCTCTGTTTCCATTGATAGAACTTTAGCAGTAGCGGAAGCCGCAGCCACTGCTGCTGCTGGTGGGAGATTAGAAGAACTGGCACTTGAAATACCATCCGGGGGTGAGATAGCTTTGCATACTCTCAAAAGCTGTCCACCAAGATTGAACTGATTCATGCTACCAACAGCATCAGCTGCACTCTGAGTGGATTCATATTCTATGTAACCAAAACCTCTATGGCGCATCGGTCTAGTTGGATCAGGTTGAAGCCTAGAAACAAATGGTTGTGTATATTTGCAGAAACATACTTGCAAAACACTATTTTCCCAAAAGCTTCAAATACTAAAGAAACATCATCTTCAGTGAGATCTAAGTGTATGCCAGCAACGTAAATGCGGTTATGAAGATTGTGTTCATTAACTAGCTCATTTATGACAGGTTCGGCGTTTGTTAGGTTACTTGGTCTACCAACTTTTAACTGCCTCCCACCAAAGCTAGTACCGTTCATTTGGTCAATAGCTAATTGTGCAGCTTCGGGGTATTCAAACTCAAGAAATGCGAACCCTTTATGTTTTTGTGTAGAAGGATCCCAACTTAAATTCACAGACTTAATAGGACCAAACGGTGAAAACACTTGTTTTAGACTGTCTTCCTTTACATCATATGCTATTGAGCCAACGTAAACGCGATTCAGAAGTGCAACAGTTTGATTCTTTTTTATATTATTTAGTTGGAGAGACTGCTGTGACTGAGTTTGACGCAAAAGCACCGAACGTATACTTTGTTCCATTGCATACTTTTTGGCCTTTTCTACAGCAGCACGCTGAGATAACTCAAGATTACAGAGTACAAATGGGGAGCTAGGTTTGCTGGCTCCAGGTCCATTGTAAACTGGCCCATTTGCTTCGATTACAGTAGCCATGGTTATAAGATTCAATGGGGGAAGTGAACTCCCATTATTCAACACGAACATCATATAAGGGAAAGTGAGAACTAAAAGGTCAGAAGGAAAAGGACAAGTTAGGGAAAATAAATACACACTAAATAACACACTTACTTTAGTTAGCATTACAGTTTTAGTAACAACACTCAATATGGCAGTTAAACAGGCCACAAACCAATTTATTAGTAAAAATTTAAAACTTCAGCAATAGGATATAACTTAGTGAAATCATTCCGTGACCTGGGTCTATAAGCATGAACATTGGTACAAGGAGGCACCAAATACATATCCTCCACACAAATCATTCCACTTGTGTGAGCGCTGGGATACTGTCCGGGCACCCAAACCGGAGCAGGTGGTTTTATTGGGAGGCCACTATCCAAGTTTTTGGTCTAAAGGTCTAATCCATAAGGCAGTGGAGCAACGTAAAGTATAGAGATGCAGTCCCATGGTAGCCGGTGACCAAAAATAGGGTTATACGCTATTTGTTCCCTCAGGATCCTGAAGCCCATGTGCACCACTAGTTTGGAGACAGAGTTTTCCAACTCCTCTGTACCAATAAACTCGTAGACAACACGACCACTGCAAGAAGGCAGTGAGTAGGACATTCCTGGCAGTGGCTGTATACACGTAGCCATGTGATAGCGTTTTGCGAGGGAGGGATGACTCTCCCCACCCTCGGCCGTACCAGGGCATTTGCGTCTATGACTCATGATTCAATGATTACTAGTGGTAGAGTGAATAGTTTATTAAATCAAAGCTTCATAACTTAATTGTCAGTTATGTATATAACTATTTCTTTATGACCTGAGGTGTGGTCTACATTTTACCTAGACAAATCTTGATTCCAAATCCTGCTAATCTTTGGGAGGAACTTAGATTCGTGTCAATATTTAGACAATATAAGAAGACGCCAAATGTTTTTGGGAAAAGTTAAGTGAATTAAAACATGACTAACAAAATATTTGCAAAGACGCTTTATAAAATAAAACTGGCCCCATAATTGAGAAAATAACGGTTGAATTGTAATTGCGAACAACAACCTGTACCCATATAAAAAGCAAATCTTGTTAAAGCTAAACTGTCACAGAACAAAACATGTTCCCATGTATATTACTAGTCGAATGATAACTTTTGAGAAGTATTAAGATGTGAATGGGAAAAAAACAGGGAGACTATGTATAAACATATTTTTCACTAGGTGTGAATACTATGGCAACAAAAAGCATTCATGAGTCTGTACAAATAAATAATCCCTAGAATATTTCGGATTGAAGTAGACAAACAAATATATAAACACGTAGGCAGAACAAAAATTTAGAAGTCTTATCATCTCCAGTAAATACATTGAGTAAAAAGAACAGACAAGAGTGGTCTTCAGCTAAATGGAGGCCGATTGTTGGTGACTATAGACGGTTTGTGTAGATGCTTTAAATTAAAAAAGAGAATTTGCTTGTAATTTAGTCAAGTAAAATTGAACCGAGCAAGCTACGACTACACGATTCAGGAGATTAGATCGATGGGTAGAAAACTTTAGAGATCAGTTCAACTGGCGTTCATCCACACTTCGGTTTCTCACGATCTCCAGTCTACCTGAATGGAAAGTTCGTATAAGTCCCCCAACTCTTTAAGAAGTTGAAAAAGCTGTAGGATATCCGAAGCAAGGGAGAACAGCAGGCCCTGACAGGTTTACCACTGAGATTTTTAAGGATGGCGGTTCAGCATTGGCAGTGAGATTGACTGAGGTCTTAGGTAGAATTTCGGAACTGGATGTAATCCCATCTGACTGGTCTCAATCACTGATTAAGCCAGTCTATAAGAAAGAAAAAAGTCCTCTTGTGACAATCACAGAGGAATCAGATTGACTAATATAGTGTCTAAAATATTAGCTTCAATAATACTTCGACGCCTAACCAAAGCTCGTGAAAAACAGACTAGAGAGAACCATGCTGGTTTTCGACCTGGACATGGTTGTATAGACCACTTATTCACACTACGTCAGGTTCTAAAACACAGACACACATTCAATACGCCCCACAATCGTAGTGTTTCTCGACCTTAAGGCGGCATTTGACTCTGTTGATCGTGATGTTCTATGGCAGTGTTCGTCACTGAAAGGAGTACCAACGAAGTACATTAACCTTATACAGACTCTCTACTTGAACACAACTGGCCGAGTGAGAGCTTATGGCGAACTGTCATCAGAATTGATTACCTCAAGTGGTATTCGTCAGGGCTGTCCACTCTCTCCATTCTTTTTAACCTTGTCGATAACGTGCTTTTAGAGATAATACCTTCCTTATCTAAATTTCCAGGAGTTAGACTTCTACTGGGAGATTCACTTGTTGACTTAGAATATGCCGACGACAGTTTTATTTGGTGAAGATGATAAGATTCAATCTTCTGACTACCGTAAGCAACAATGCAAGCGTGTTCAGGATGCGATTCACCCTCTCGAAATGCAAAATGTTGCTTCAGGATTGGGTTGCATCGTCACCTGAACTAATGATAGGGAGTGAAATAGTTGAGCGTGTCGACCGATTCACTTATCTTGGAAGTCTCATCAGCCCTTGTGGTCTGGTGTGTGACGAAATCTCAGCACGGGTACAAAAGGTTCGACTAGCTTTTGCCAACTTGCGTCATTTATTGCGTAGGCGAGATATCCGTCTGTCAACTAAAGGACGGGTTTATTGAGCAGCAGTTCGCTCCGTCCTACTTTATGGCAGTGAAACATAGCCAGTAAGAGTAGAGGATATTCGTAGGTTACTAGTACTCGATGATAGGTGTCTTTGAAGCATTGCTCGTATATCCTGGGACTATCGAGTAAGTAACGCAGTTGTTAGGAAACGGGTACTAGGTAAGGATGGCAAATCAATTGATGAATTGCGAAACTTCATCAGTTTAGATGGCTGGGACATTTGTTACGTTTGCCTAACCGCCGAATGCCCCAACGTGCGATGTTTTATGGTGTAGGAGTAGGTTGGAGGAAAGCTAGGGGCGACCAGACCAAAATATGGCACAAATCCATGAAGTCACTGACAAGTGGACTGACCCATGTTAGTAGGTGTAGACTACCTGGTTGGAATCCGCGAGACGATAGCAACCGATGGTTAGAGACCTTGAATAACATAGCTCAAAATCGTTTGCAATGACGCAGGCGCATCCACTCTTTGTGTTTATTTATTTATTTGAACACAAATATTGGTACAAGAGGGCACCAAATATATGTGCGCCACACGAAACAATGAGAATTCGAAGAGAGAAAAAAGAGTGTAAGGAGCGTAAAAAAAAGAAAAATAACGACCAGATTACTGTAAGGTAGTGCAATAATAATAATAATAATGGGGGAAACGGAAAGGTACAATCAGAAGAAATCTTTCAGTTAAGGAAGTCACAACCACTTTTTATGAAGAAAGTAAAAGAAGGTTACAGCAGGATCGCCACTGGCTTCTATTCTGAGCCATATCTGATAACGTCTCTAGCCACTGTGTAGCACCATCTCTCGGACCCCAACCAGGGAGTCGTGAAGGACCAACACAAGCCAGTCCTTTGCAGCTTTCTTTCATACCACGACACCATGTCATGCACTGACCACCTCTCCGCTTTTTCCAACCAGTCCCAGAGTCGGCAAATAATGCACGACGTGGAATTCTCTGGGACGACATTCGTAGAACATGTCCAAGCCACCGAAGTCGGTGTTTCAAGATGGTGACACCAATTGATTATCATCTCTGTGCCCGAACACACGATGCCGAACCTCTGCATTACTGACATGGTGTTGCCACTGAATGTCAGCAATCCTTCGGAGACAGCGATGATCGAACACAGAGAGTCGTCTAACGTCCTCAACTCGGAGAGGCCAGGTTTCACAAGCATAGAGCAAAACTGCTCTCACCGACGCGTTGTAGATCCGACCTTTTACAGCCAGACTAACATCACGAAGGCGCCAAAGGTGGCCCAGATTGGCATAAGCCGCTCTGGCTTTCACTATACGTGCATTGATCTCATCACTCACCCCCCACCAGCACTTATGCAGCTACCCAGATACACGAACTTCTCGACTACGTCTATCTGCTCACCATCCAGGGTGAGTACAGGATTAGAATCCTGCCAGTCTTGTAGAAGTACTTTGCACTTCGAAGGTGCAAAGCACATACCATACCTACGGACACTGATTGCCAACTGATTAAGTGCGAGGGCATTATCGCACAGTAAGACAATATCGTCCGCATACTCAAGGTCGAGAAGTCTTTCTCCAGGCAACAGATCCACACCACCATTACTTACATTCATCAGAGCTGTTTCCAGAATGTCATCGATGGCAAAGTTGAAGAGGAATGGTGAGATTGGGCAACCCTGCCTAACCCCACTGCTCGAATGGAACAATGGAGAGAGGTGGTTGTATGCCCTCACTCTGCCTGAGGTGTTTTATATAGGGCTTTTAGGATGTTAATAAACTTCTCAGGCACACCCTTCTTCAATAGACAATCCCAGAGAACAGTCCTATCCAACGAATCGAAGGCAGCCCTGATGTCAAGAAACACTACGATTGTTGGCCTTTGATAAGTATGGCGGTGTTCTAACATTTGGCGGAGGGTGAAGATATGATCAATACATCCTCGACCAGAACGAAACCCAGCCTGCTCCTCGCGAGTCAATCTTTCTCGGGTTTTGAACAACCTACGAAGAATGACGGAAGCCAATAGCTTGGACGCAATCGGAAGTAGACTTATCCCCCGATAGTTGTTACAGGAACGACGTGAACCCTTTTTAAAGATAGGGACAACTATCGACTCATTCCATGACGTTGGTACACTCTCTAGTTCCCAAACCTTTGTAAACAACGTCGTCAATTCCTTAGTCAAAAAGTCACCACCATCTTTAAAAAGAGCCGGAGGTAAGTCATCTGGGCCAGGTGATTTGTAACGCTTCAAGAGTTGGAGTTCCTTGCGGACTTCCTCCTCATTTGGTGGATCAGTCGTCACCGGCCATGGAGGGCAGGACAGTCTGACCGATGTTGCCGGAGCAGCAGGCCAGTTGAACTGCCCTTCGAAAAATTCTGCCCATCGTCCAAGACGTCGATGGATGTTAGTGATTGGCATCCCATCATCCTCGCAGATTGTTTCACTCACACCAGACTTCTTGCTGCCAGTGGCTCGGATGAGTTACTAGAGCTTCCGGTAGTTACCAGATGCAGCTGCTGCTTCCAGCTCATTAGCACGCTCCAACCATCAGGCTTATCGGTCCTTACGTAACATCCTTCGTTTATGGTCAAACTCACGGTCACCCGGAGTAGACCGACGGGCTTCAATGAGTTGTAAGGAACCAGAAGAAACCCAGTGCTTATAAGCGGGACGTTTCGCGAACCCACAACTGACTTCAATCACCATTTTCATGGCGTCATGCAATTGCAACCAATGCTCATCTATACTTTTCGGTGGAATGGTAGCTAGCCTAGAAGCTAGCTCGGTTCGATACTTATTTGCAACAGAAGTTGCAACCAACTTGCTAACATCAATCCTTTGGTGGCGGTCACTTCGTTGGCCACTGAAAAGTAAGATAAGATTGGCGCAGACCAAGGCATGGTCAGAGTCCAGATAGGTACTCCAAAAGGAGCGGCAGTCTTTACACAACCACGCCAGCGGTAGCTGATCGCGATGTGATCAATCTGAGTCCAGGCTTGAGATGCAGAGGAAGGACGCCAGGTGGCACATCGGCGATGACTGCCGAAAGTTAATGCTAGCCAGAAACAGGTTTTGGTCTGTGCACAGTTGCAGTAGATGGTTCGATCGGCCACCTAAACGACTCTCTTCTGTGCCTAGACGCCCGACCTGAGCATTCAAGTCTCCGGCTAGTACTACAATATCTGTCGAACGCACTTTCTGGAGAAGAACAGATAACTGGTGGTAAAACTCATCCTTGATTGCATCCGGGCTGCAATGTCGGGGCAAAGGCGGAGATAACGAAGAGACATCGTTTCGCACGCCGATTTCTTCTCAGTTTGATGGAACTCTCTAATCTAACAGCACATAACCGACTGTTAGTGTGGATCCAATCGATTAGTCCTGCCTCAGCTCCAGCGCTTAGTGAGACACCAACGTCAGCAAGACCAGACGAAGATGCCACAGGGTCCCCGGATAAACGCACGTAAAACAAGCTTTTCGAAGCGACAGATGTATAGCGAATTTGTAGTATTTCACTAGTCTTAAATACGGGTCTCGGATAGACAACAAACGTCGATATTAAGACTTTCCAAAGACATAGTTAGCCCTATCTGTTGTCTGACCTGCATAAGTGTGCAAACGTTGAAGGCAGTCAGTTTGAATGTTGCACGTGGTTTCAGAAAAAACTGCTTCAATATTCGTATTTGGTGGTAGCATACAGTTTTTAACCAGTCAGTGACTCGAGAACGCTTAGATAGAACCGAGTTTCCACCATAAGCGACCTGCTGTATAAGCCGAAAAATAAGGATACATAAAGTGGGAATAAAAGAGAGTGAATAAATGACGTAAATAATGATAATAATAATAATAATAATAATAATAATAATAATAATAATAATGTGAATCGTTTGATTGCTAATCGAAGCAAGACAAGCATTTTCCATAAATATCGACATTTCATCATATTTGTGTGTGGGCTGTGGTACCGCCCGGGTACCCAGACCGAAAAAGGTGGTTTCCTTAAGGAGCCACACCCCGAGCCTTTAACCTAAAGGTCTGACCCACAGGGCAGTGGAGCATCGTGAGGAGATGCAGCCCCATAGTAGCCGGTGACCAACGATTGGTTCACACGCCATTTGTTCCCGCAGGATACTGGACATTTGCTTTTCGTCCTCTCATTTCCGTAAACAACACCCCGCCATGAGAAGGCAGTGAGTAGGACTTCCCTGACAGAGGCTCTATACGCGTGGCCGTGTGAGAGCATTTAGAGAGGGAGGGCAGGCCCACCCCATTTTCGGCCATATCAGGGTATTTGTGTTCTCCCAAATCCTAATCTTCTGGATTCTTCATGCCCTTTTTCTCTTTTGCCAAATTTATTTCACTGGATTATACTCCTTGGATAACATCTTCAAACTAGATGGTGGTTGGAGGTAGTCAACAGGAAACCCTACCTCCAACCACCATCTAATCTCAATACATAGTGCCCGCAGTGTCGAGTCACCTAGACTGGTGGCCACATCGCAACATGATCGATAGCATTCGATCTGCACTAATAAGGACTAGACAAGCATGAGATTGATCACCACCCAGTGATCAATCAATTGTGATAACATCTTCAAACCCTAATCTTTCGGATTACGACTTATACTTTTACTCAGTCAGCTACAACGTAGGACCAGGCACATATGTGCATCGGTCCAGGTTGCCATACCACATCAGCACAACAAGATGAACACCGAATTCATAGCAGTGGTTATGTCAAAGGTGGTAATAAATAAGAGGAAGATTGCATATAGAGATATAGTACAAGAAGAAACAATTGGTTCGTAGAAAGAAAGATATGAAGTGATTTTAATCTCTTAGTTTAAGGGAAGACAGGGAGTGTATACACCGACGCCATTGTGATCGATTCTGAGCCATGTCACCAAGAGTCTCTAACCATTGGTTACGAAAGTCACACGGACCCCAACCAAGTAGTCTGCATCTACCAACATGGCTCAGACTAGAAGTTTGTGTCTTCAAGAACTGGTGCCACGTTTTGGTTTGGCCGCCCCTAACTTTCTTCCAACCATCTCCAATACCGGATAGCATTGCACGTCGTGGTAATCGGTGTTCAGGCATACGTAATACGTGGCCTAACCATCTCAGTCGATGAAGATTCATAACCTCATCAACTGATTTACCATCATTTCCTAATACCCTGCGTCTAACCTCACTATTACTTATCCGGTGATCCCAGCAGACGCCAGCAATATTTCTAAGGCATCTGTGGTCAAATACTAATAGCTTACGAGTGTCTTCTACTCTTAAAGGCCATGTTTCGCTGCCGTAAAGTAAAACAGAACGGACTGCCGCGCAGTATACTCGTCCTTTTGCTGATAGACGGATATCTCGCCTTCGCCAAAGGTGACGTAAGTTGGCAAAAGCCAAACGAGCTTTACGAATCCGTGCTGAGATTTCGTCAGACACCAACCCATTAGGGCTGATCAGACTTCCAAGATAAGTGAAGTTGTCAACGCGTTCGACTACTTCACTCCCTATCCTTAGTTCAGGTGTTGACGCAGACCAGTCCTGAAGCAACAACTTGCATTTCGAGGGGGAGAAGCGCATTCCAAACATTCTGGCATTGTTGCTTAGTACTACTAAAAGACTCTGCATTTTGTCAGCGTCTTCACCAAACAGGACTATGTCATCTGCGTATTCTAAGTCGATAAGTGGACCTCCTGATAGAAGATCAATATCTGAGAATTCAGTAGACGAGAATGTTATTTCCATCAGTAGGTCTATGATGAAGTTAAACAGAGATGGAGAAAGTGGACAGCCTTGACGGACACCACTTGAGGTTGCAAAAGTAGATGACAGTTCGCCATAAGCTCTGACTCGACTAGTAGTGTTCGAGTAAAGAGCCTTCACAAGGTTTATGTACTTCTGGGGTACGCCTTTCAATGACAGACACTGCCACAGAATCTCGCGGTCTACAGAGTCAAATGCTGCTTTTAAGTCGAGAAAGACCACCATTGTCGGCCGCCGATAAGTATGCCTGTGTTCTAGAGTCTGACGAATGGTGAATATGTGGTCGATGCAGCCACGACCAGGTCTGAAGCCAGCTTGAGTCTCTCGTGTTTGCAGTTCACGAGTCTTAGTTAGGCGTCTGATAATTATCGAAGCTAGTATTTTAGATATTATATTAGTTAAATTAGTTAAACCCCTACCACTATGAGGTTTGGATCGACAATTGTATCTCTGTGCTAATGTGGTATGGCAACTTGAACTGATGTACGTGTGCACGAAGTTCTACGTTGTTGCTGAGTGACTTATTAAATTCACTAGACAAGAAATATATCACATAAAATGGCATAATGTTGAGGAGAAGTAGAGGAGCTAACGGGTTCAACTGGGCAGTCAAAAAGTCGGAAATAGTCACCTAAAGTACACGATTATATAAACTTATAAACGACCTCTGCATTTACGAACACATAATCGTTTGTAGATAATCAGTTATCTGATTATTAATAGTTAAGTTGTAATACGTTAACTATTGTTACCGGTATCCTTACTGTATCAAATATCTCAACGGGAAAGATAATATATACTGTGGTAGTACAATCATTAAAACGCAAACAAACATGATGTTGATCCCAGGATATGGCTAATTTGGTGGCATCTTTCAGTAAATTTCCAGACTGACGTTTATTAGCGAAGACGAACCTTGAAAGTCATGTTAGGACTCACTGGATGAGTGCATACCTTAACGCTACCACTTAAAAACTGTGTCAACCAAAAACTCTCGGAACTTAGCGTCCTACATTGTTTGGACTGTCAACAGATTACTAATTCAGTGTAGCAAAGTTAGGGAAGGCTATCAAACCACCCCATGTAACTAGTTATAATTTCTTTATGATCAGTGGTAAAAACCTACAACCCCAGTTGAGACTAAAAATATAGAACCATCTGGTCCTGAATTTTCTAGATGTCTATACATCTCAGAACACCATTCAGCATCACTTGAACGTTAACGAATGACTTTTGATCATACTTAATATTATTATCAAAGCACACACTTTCTAACACAACTTCTAGGGTGCAAATATGGACAAGGGCGAAGTGTGAACTGTTGTAGTAGTCCCCGATTCGATGGACAGAAGAGGAATTTATGTGGATCTGAAATACCTGGAAGGATCTGTAGATGAATATTAATATTCCCACACATTAATTGGGTTACCACTTGGTCCCTGTCGTCTAATGAATTCTATATCACAGAAAAGTGGACACTTTTAAAACATAAGCAGTAACCAGAGAGTAACACAATGCAAAACAGACAACTAAGGACCTGCCTAAATAGACCGCCAACCAGAACGGACTAAAGACCGCCAAATGAAGAACGGCCTTCCAACAACGAACATCGAAAATGTCGGTATTGTATATTAGTAGCGTTGTACTACGGCTCAGTTTATCATAATCAGCAGAAACCCATTTCATCAGCTTTTCAGTAATTTACGTTTATTTCACTATTTTAATGGAATTATTATCATGGTCAAGACTATGATATTTCTTGGTGCCCACCATACTTCACGCTACCGTTCTTCCATTTACCAAATATTCAGCTTGGCAGCCCTTTAGTCATTTTTCCCTGCATGTCAAAAAACTCACTACCCGATGCCGTTCGATCGATTACTGGTCCTTTGCTCTTTTAGCCTCATATTAATGATCTTCCTCAATTGACAATGTAGCGGTAAATAAATCCCCAAAATAAATAGTTCCGTAAGTCTTAAACATTTTATGCTGACCTCTCTGGTTTAAATGGACATATCTAGCTGAACGCGCTCTGTCGCGCATCCGCGCCAGATCACGAGTGGGCACACTGTGCTACGCACCGTTAGATAAGACGCTTCGCGGTGTATATCGATAGCCTTTCAAATATGTGTCCAAACCCCTTCGTTTTCCGACTCTTGATTTAACTGAATTGTCATGCTTCGGTTATAAAGGTGTTCGTGCAAGGGCGTTGTCAAACTCATAATACTTGTAACATCTTCAATAACCTCCGACACATTATTTTGTTGATCATGTAAAGCCACTGAGTGACATCAGAAGCTTGAATGATATTCTAGAGCCTATGTAGAATCGGATTTGACTTTCAAGTTGACCAGACAACAATTTGTGAAGTTCGAGGTGGTAGCTTGTTGAAAACTATGACTTCCCTCCTAAATTTCAGTAGCTTCATTAGGTCCCGTTTACAGTATGAAACCAGCGTCTCCTTCTTTACACAAATGTAGTTGACGATAGTTTACTATTTCTGCGTGTTTTGGATAATAATTTAGAACGTTCACGTGCATAACCTGTTTGTAATTTATTGAAAGGATTAATCCTCGTTTGTGAAACTGTTTTCAGCTAATTTGGCCCATAGAAACAGTTGAACTCTGTTTGGTTCAATTTAATTCCTTTCATGTAGACTCGTTGACTTAAAAGACTTTAAGCAATATTGGGTTGCTAGCGGTTCTTGAGCGAATTTATGACGGGTTAACTTCGGATTCTTTAACAGCTGCCGTAGTTGACTTGATGAGTGATATGGTTAGTGCTCGATGACATTTTGCTGGCTCCACATGACCAGCCAAAGTAGTCGTTAGATGCATCAAAAGATTTTGGTGGGTAACATCTGATACGCCATGAAAGATTACAATAGTGGGATCACCCAAAAATGAGGTACCCTGGCATGCATTTAGGTCCTCGCTAAAACTCAGAGAATCTTATGATGAGGTTTGATTTCCAGAACACGAAAATCCTTTCGTGAAACACTCCAGGCATAGTCAGTGAACAAAATAAAGTGCGCCTTCTAAAGCCATCGGGATAAAGGAAAATAAAACTCAAGCAGAATATTTTCTTCTTAAGAAGATGCACAAACCTGATCTTACGTGGCTTTGGTTTATCTTCCACTAGTTGAGTTGAATTATAGTTAGATTTACCGATCACCAGTGTAGATGATCTACTTGGATGTTCTGATCTACCATAGCTTGACGGTAGTCGTTTGGCCACCAAGCCTATGTAAAAAGCACACCTCGAAGTTAGCACATAACAGGAGTTACGCTTTTGTGGTATTCATGTACTGTGTTAACTTTAACAACCTTACAGAACAAACATGACATAAACGAAGAGATGTGAGTGCATAAGAGATGATTTGGCTACGGCTCTGTGACACCTGAGTGGGCCTACTGATTCAGCAGAAACTTGACAGACAACAAACCCTTAGAGTCCGCAACTCCACTCACTCTTATCCATTACACCAAAGACCTCACTCATCATGATTTACGTTACTCTTCATCTATTCTTGATCCAGTTCTCATTCGTGGTGATGATGCTAATCATTATGAATGCCACTCAGTCACTGGTAGAAGTGCTATCCAATTACCATGTTTAATTTCAGTTCAGTTATGATTTACCAAGTGGACATGACGACACGGCCTCAATTATCAAAGAGTGGCTTGATGGCAAGCAACTAATTAGCCACTCTCAAAGGCTAAATAATCAGTCGAAGTTGTGATGAGTCCCCTTATAAATATCTTAATCAAGAAGCATAGCTGTTCGTACCTTAAACAGTTTCGAATAGAAGAAAACATGCCCCTGCTTACTGAACGTCAGAGTTTACCGAGTCTCATCTTAATCATGAGGATTGTGTCGTGTGGTTGTTTATTGGGAGTTCACAAGGAAAAGATGTTTTTCTAAGTAGGAGGCGATTAGCCGGTCGATGTTGATGTCATCTTTAGTTCTGTTCCAACTAGTATAGTACTCGGGTTCGAGATGAGGAACTTTATAAGGTATTTCGAATAGAGCTTTGACGGTTCGACACACTGAGATGCTACGTATAAGGGCGTGCATAATTATTCGTAAGGCGGGTTGGACGAAAACATCTGTAGATTGCGATCGAGTGGAAGCAGGTTTAGTTGAACCCATAGTTTTTGTAGCCTGAAGATGTAGCAGTCCTAATACAGATTCACTGAAATGGATGAACGATCTACGATCTCCCTTGGAATTTGGGGTGTCGGATCGTAAAAGGTTTTCCTGTAGTTCATTCAACGTCAGCTTTGATTGCTCTGTGAACCCCGAATAACTGAAACGGAAGAGTTTTAATCCATTGTGATATGTCTGCAGCTAAAAGTCAAGCTTATGACTGTCGGTGAAATTGTTCTATCAACCTGTTAGCTTGCAGATAGTAGGCGATCACTTGGAATCCTGTGATTCCTAGTAGTATTATTAGACTACGGCTGGGTTAAAATCCAAACTGGTGTCCAGTTGCCGCAGTATTTGTTCAACGAAAGCGTGAGTTACTGTTTAGTAAGTAATATTTTTGATAGGCTTTGCTTCCGGCCATCATGTGAAACGGCCCACAAACATTAGTAGATAAGGGTATCTATCTGATTTCAGCAAAGGCTTCACTAAATCATGATGAACGTGGTCGAAGCGAGCGGTCGGGCTTTCTGAAGAACCCAAGGGACATTTATTAAGTCTCATCACCTTTAGGTTTCTAGTAGCTTCCACAGATGCTCGTCTACTCCATTACATGCTTATACACACTAGGCCAGCAAAATCGTTCTGTTATGAGCCTGATTATTGCTCGAACACCTGGATGAGAGAGTTTATGCAACGTAATGAAGACAGTATGTCATTTATGTTTCAGCACTGTTGGTTGATCTCTACCCATAATTGGATTACATAATAAAGTTTCTTCACCTGTTTGATTCGCAGTTTTTGGGCTCTCGCACATCAGAGTCTTCTTTTTGAAGCTAGAAGAGTTTGGGAGGCCGACCCCTTGAGAACTTTTGAATGGGTTTTTTATGTGATAACCATATGCAACCATATTTTACCATAGAAGTATGTTATATGTCTGAAGTAAACTGCTAAATGTAGCCCAGTTATCGAGACTGTTTGACAGAAGAACTTTCCACGTAATCTTCGACAGTCTCATTCGTTCTCGTTTAGAGTACGGACGTATTGTACTTTCTTCCTCACTCCAAAAGGATAAGGACACTCTAAAGCGTATCCACGAAGTCAGTTCGGGGACCCGAATTCAAGCCTAATGAAGAGCCTCTCCATTCAGTAAACCTTTACCCATTAGGGTATGGGCGTCTTATAGGTAACCTTCTAATGGCTTATAGTATCTTTAACACTTCTGAACATCCCCTTAAACACCTACTTAAGTTTAGCTCTAACACAAACCTAAGGGGTAATACCTAGAAACTGGAGATACAACACAGCAGAACAGACTGTAGACACAACTTCTACCTCGTAAGGGCTATCAAATCCTGGAATTTACTGTCGACTGAGGTATTCCAAGCGACTCCCCAGAAGTCCTTTTGGAGGAAATTTGACCTGTTCTTAAGGACTAAAGATAATGTCTTTCTATGATTTACCGATTTTTTTCTTTCCCCTCTTTTATCGTCAATATACTTAGATTCCTGCCAGGAGGTATTGGTAATCTACTGCTACTAGACACAGAATCTTGTTAAGCGAAAGCTCCTTCTATCTCATACACAACCATTTGAACCATTTGAACTGGAGGAGAGTACTTATTTGAAGATTAGATGAGAGAAAAAGCTATTGGCTTATGGTTAGTGAACTATTCCCATGAAGCTGGTCAATTAATGAGTTCATGACGTAAAAAGTCAGTTGGTATTTGAGCACCGTATTTTCCTTACTTAATTTTAAAATTACACAAATGGCTAAACTTTCAGCTTTCCCAATCATCTTCACTCAGATAATTCTCTTTACATTTATCACGATACTGTGGTTTGTTTTCTTTGACCTGATGAAATATATTTTCTAAGGAATTAACCTGATAAAAGAGAATTAGTCCAAGTAGTCATACCCTTACTGTTCGTCCACAAATGACTAAAATTCACTAGTCATAAACATTGTCATTTTTTCTCCCCTCCGTTCCCTTTTTCTTTCCTTTTGATTACCCTCATGGTGTACTACGGAAGACATTTGTAAAACATTTGTTTCTGTATTGCACCGTCACTTATACCTCCGTACTTTATCTGGGATCGCTATCGAGAAGCACAAACTAGTACGTTCAAGTTAACGTCTTCGGTTGACCACTCTGCACTTCAAATCCATTCACTCTCGACCACCAATTGCCTGTTGCAACACAACACCCACAAAGCGCGCCGACTCTCATACTGGACATTAAAGTCATACTGACATTAATATTCTAATGTATGAGAATTTATCCACTGTTTAAATTGCCCATGTGCGCTATAACTTATCAATGTAATTTATTAACTTATTAAAGTAAATAATACATCATTTGTAACAGCTTGATGTTGACTGTAAACTGGCATGCTTCTTGTAATATGTTGCTATCTGAGAATATATTATTATTATAAGCAATTAAAAAGTCAGTATGCACCACCATTGAA